CATATTTTAGCCATGTTTAGTTTTTAAAGACCCTCAAAGAAATCTTCCAGAATTTTTAGAACATAAAAGGAATTGTTTGAAAAGAAATTTCTATGTTATTTTCTTGGCTATATGCTGATCTCTTTATTTTCATTATTCTTTATTTTTTATTTTATTTATTTATTTTTTTTTAATTTTTACCCTGAAATCTTGCCTAAAATTAAACTATGAATATCTGGCATGACAAGAGTGGAGTCACTAAAGCACCAGGACCAGATCAACAACTGTATCTTTGTTTCACTGCAGTATTTTCTTCTGTGAGCTCAAGGTGAGTGTTTCATTTTCTGTTTTGCTTTCCCCCCCCCAGCTTTTTTTCGGGGGAAGGGGAGGTTTGGTTATCAACTAAAAAATTGTTGGGGTGTTTTTCTGAATGTCAGATGTATTTTTATTAGTTAGCTCTTTGATTTTTCACAAGGGTAATTCTCTTTTTACTTACTTGTATGAAGTAAAAAGGAAGTATTGTAATCGCGAAAAGTTTCAAGTAACATATTTCAAAGAAAATATCCATTTTGACCGCTATCGAACGCAATTTAACGATGTTTTTGCATGATATCTGTACGTAAGGAGAGAATAAAAGAGTCTTTTCCTCCAAAAAAATTATAAAACTGCTTTAAAATTAATTCTGAAGAGAATTTTTCATAGCGTCTGTATGAACATATGTATGAGGGTTGGAACTTTAATAGTGGCAACTATTTATTTACAAGGAATACAAAAGTGATTCATGTCACCATGTTTTACAGTCCTTCAATATAGTCACCAGCATTGTGTACACCCGTTTCCAACGATGTAGAAGTCGCAGAATACCTGTAGCAGCGCCTGTTTTGTTGATAGTTTGAATTGACCGGTCTACTGCCGCAAGAATCTCAGGAACAGTTTGGAAGCGAGTGCCACGAAGTGGTTTCTTCATCTTAGGAATTAAGTCATAGTCACAAGGGCTTATATCAGGAGAGTATGGTGGATGGTAAAGCACTTCCCAGCCCCATCGCTTGAACAAATCAGTCACAGCTTGCGCTGCTTGCTGCCGAGCATTGTCATGCAAAATGAGAGGAACATTCTGCAGAAAGTGTCGCCATTTTTTTCTCAAAGCTGGTCGGAGATTGTGCTCCAAAAATGAGCAGTAATAGTGCGCAGTGACGGTTTGCTGTGGGGGAAGGGTATGCGCTAGGATGACACCATCACAGTCATTCATAAGAATCACCATAACTTTCACATTGCTGGGGTTCTTACTAAATTTCGAACGTCGTGGTGATCCGTGATGATGCCATTCGTTTGATTGGCGTTTCAGTTCTGGCTGGTACGATCGGGCCCAAGTCTCATCCAGCGTAATGATACGGGTAAAAAAACATCTTCGCGCTCATAGCGCTCCAGGTGGGTTCGAGCAGCATCGTATCGTAGCCATTTCTGCATTTCCGTCAATTGATGTGGAACCCATCGTGAAACAATTTTTCTCATGGACAGGCGTTCCTTCAGAATGTGCAGCACAGTCTTATGCGCTAATCCTGTTTGTCCGGCCAGCTGACGAATCGTTTGGTGGCGATCACTGTCCATTAGTGCGGCAACAGCTTGCACGTCTGCATCGCTGACACTAGGACAACCTGGCCACAGCATGTCTGCCATGTTTTGGCTTCCTTCATTGAATGCTTTCAGACATCTTGCTACAGTTCTGTAAGGCAATGCAGATTCCCTGCAAGCCTGTTGAAGCCCTTGATGACACTGTCGTGCTGTACGACCTCTGGCACATTCAATTTTTATCCAACATCATTGTTCTTGTTTTGAAAACATCCTAACAACACTTACTTTAGACCGCGAGCTAATACAAGGATCCGTTCTTCGCGTCACTCCGCATGCACGTGACGTAGGCAGGACGAGTCCTTTTGCTGAGAGATAAGGTAGGTATGTAGTTCACATGTGGTATATGCGATATTCTTTGGTTTTGTTGCATAGCGTTTTTTCAGCTGTGTTGCCACTATTAAAGTTCCAACCCTCGTACGTACATGTGTACGTACGTATCTCGCATAACTCAAAAACGAGTAGTCTCAGAACGTTGAAATTTTGCATATAGGACTGCTATAACATGTAAGATTTACTTCGTAATTTTTAATGCAGATATTTTGAGTTTTTATGTATTTTTGCCTTGTCACGAAGTGAGAACTGAATTAATTGAATGAGAAATACTACATCGTCTATGAAAAACTGTTTCTTTTCTGTTTTGTTTGCTTAATTCTTTCATACATTGTTTTAGCTTTATTATAGTATTTGAATAGAACATGTGGCAATGATAATTCTTCAAATGATATAAATTTTGTGCATTCAGAGTGTCATTATGGTAAACAAACATAAATTTTGTGCAATCAGAGTGTCGTTATAGTAAACAAATATAGTGAAATTTAAAGGGTGCATTTATTCTATTGTGGTTTATGCGCTGTCAACGAAGTAGATTTAATTCAATCCAATCAATTTAAATGAAATTCAAGAAAAAAATGTGTATAATTTAATATTCCGTACAAGGAAGTCATGTGGTGTACACATCAGATTTTTTTTTCTTTTGCTTTCATTGAAAGAAATTTTGTTAGCTCTACATTTTAATAGTTTGAGTTGTAGATGTTTATTTAATTTTATTTTATAGTTTATATTTTCTTAATTGTAGATATAATATTAGTTTATTTTTTCTGATTTTTAATTATTTTGCAAGTGAATCAAATTAGAAATGAACAAAATTAAAAAAAAAAAAAAAAAAAAAAAAAATGACATGTCAATACTTGGAAGGAAAATTTCGCCTTCTTAAAATAAATAATTCCTGCTTTTCTTATTTACAAAGACAAAACAATGACTTAAAGCCACTTTTTGATTACGCAACTTCAGACTATCAAAGTTGACCTCTAAAAAATAATTACTTACATAACTAAAAATGGATTGTTATTCAAGTAACAAGACAGTTTATGAAAAGTGTGGAAATTATGAACAGTAATTCAGTTCAAAATTTAGATCTCACAGTGAATACACAAAAATACATATGTACTTACATATACACACTGGTCATAAAAAAACTTCCTCTATTGCCACTAGTGGCCCATCTGCTTAACCAATCAAAATGAAATTTCAGATGTTGTTATTTGAAGGTATGTGCTTAAGAGTGCGATGATTTAAACAAAACAGCTCTCACAGTTACAGTAAAAGAATTTTGAAATTTACGAATGGGATTACCCACTTTTTATCTGCATTAAATGCTCAGTGCACTGAAAAACCATAAATGGCTTTGGAACAACACACATATGATGAAAATTGCTGCCATAAAACATCTGCATAAAAAAGCATTGTAAAGGACCAGTGATAGCACAAGAGAAGATAAAGAAAAAAGCCTTTATTGGAATTACAAGTTTTCAACAAGCCGACCTTCAAAGAGAATAAAAAACTGTTTCCAGAAGATTGTTGACAACAATGATAAATATAACATTGGAAAAGGAATCTGTATAACTTCACATTTTATGACATCTTTCAATACTGACAAATCTCATGGATTTGATGTGTACACCTTAGATTTCATATAACACCAGAACCAGAAAATCCATCAATGCAAAGTCAGGGGGTCACAGTGGCAATGAAATTGCAAAACTACAGGAGATGACTCTATCTCCAAAATGTTGTTGCAGCATTTGGCAACTACATGTGGCAATGTGTGGAGGGGCAGAATCTGGCATCCATATAATATCATTACATTTTGCTATTGCAATTCTAGAATTATGTAATTCTGCAACATTGATGCAAGCACTTGTGATGCAACAGCAAGCACTTGAACAACAGCAAGCACATGTGATGCAGCACCTTTTCACACTCATGAAAGTGACCCCTTCAAAGCAGTATGGACCAAAAATGAATACCCTTGCAATGCCGAATCACACAGTTTGCTTTAGCTTTGTTTAGAGGCACTGGTACAAGATCATCAGCTCAGTGAATACAGTTCTTGAAGTTTATATTCCCAGTTAAGAAGAAATGGGCCTCATCCATCCATAATATCTACAGCAGCCATCTACTATCTTTATCATATCTGATGAAGAAAAAATTTAATAGACTGTTGTTCGCTTCCAGGTTGAAACATCTCTAGCACTATAAATCAATAAAGAAACATTCAGAGAACAAAGTGCACAAACTTGACGACTGTGGTTTTTGGCACAATCAAACTACAGGCAAATCTTCTTGCAATATGCCATGCACCTTCAGTAACTGTATTATGCACTTCTGCAACAACTTCAAAAGGAACACATGGTTGTGTTTGGATCGTGGTCTATCTCACTTTCTTCAAATTTTTTTCCACCAAATCACATACAGCTTTTATGGGACACGGGCCTCGTCTTAGCTAATGATTTTGCCGATAAATGCATATTGCTTCGGCAGGATTTTCCTCCATTCAGATAAAACAGCTTTATCAATACACCTCGTTGTTTCCCTGTACGTGTCACCTTGTTAGCACTTTCGAACACCCTATTGAACACACTTGCTTCCCACACTGCTCATTAAAAGTTTTTCACAAGTAATGCTTTGCAGATGGTGTTCAGCGATTGGTGCTTCTTCTGTATATACCTTTGAGTTATACAAAATGCATCAATGCACCTCCTCCATATGCTTTCATTGATTCTTTACCAGTGACAATGACTTTTTTTTTTTTTTTTTTTTTTTTTTTTTTTTTTATGACCACTATGTACATCAGGCATGTCATTTAAAAATAAAAATAATAAATAAATAAATAAATTTGTTCTCTTGTAAAATTTTTGTCACATTCCTTGTTAATGGTACTTTTACTGATTTTACTTTATCTACAACATATCTAGCAATTTCCATAGCTTTCATTAAAATGCTTTGGAATGAATCATGCTTATTTTCAAACTTTTAGTGCATCCTGCATCCTGAAAAATTAAAATATCGCATCATATTAAAATAACTCAGAATTTAACAAATTAACTTACACGCAAAGCCCATTGCCATTCTCCCATTGCTGCAGTAATCTGGTCTCCAATTATGTAACCTAGTCCACTAAAATATGAAGAAAATGATATTTTTAATTAAGACTTCAAAAAATAACCAAATGGAATCAACACATCACAAAATTATTATTAACAAAAAAACTTAAAATACCTGCCAACAGGAATAGCAAAATAAAATACTGCCAACATTTTTGATCGTCTATCTTTTGAAAATAAATCTGCAATTATGGTTGGTGCTATAGTGGAATAACTTGCTTCACCAGTTCCAACAAGGGCTCTCAAAAAAATAAATATTCCAAAAAGCTTGAAAAGAAAAAATATCTGAACATGTATATACATAAATTAGTATATATTCATTCACATGTACAAGGAAACTGAAATAAAATTTTATAAGGTAAAACATTGTTACAATATTCTGAAAACTGTTTTTAAATCTAGTATTATCCCTTTAAAATGAACTTGGGCGGCTTGCTCTCCGAGCTCGGTAGTGATGGTTAATGGCAGATGCTCCGCTTTCTTTTCTACTAGGCTACTGGTCTTTACTGCTTCTCCTGAACTTGAATCCTTGGACCTCCTTTTTGTAGTGTCTCCATTAGGTGCTTGTTCAATCCTAGGCTAGTTTATACTTTCCTCTGCACTGGACAGTTTTTTTTTTTTTTTTTTTAAATGTCTGCACTAGACCTAGACATGCTTGCTGTTTGATCTGACCTCTCCCTTATCTGATTAACAACCAGTGGGACTCAGTGACTTTCTTCAGAGGTTGACTTTAAAACTTCTCTTATAAACAGGTGTCTGCCCATTCACAGAAGGGCTTCAACTAGTTAGCAAATTGCTGTGAGTTTGGAACTATGAACTGCTGCTGCTCTTATACACACAACCACAAAATGACCTTCAAATCTGGACACAAAAATTTTAACTCTACCAGCTATGATGCTGAAGATAATAAATGTTTTACTTTCAGCATTTTATCCTTTAACTTCAAATTTTCCTCACACCTTTTTTTACTGTAATACAGTTTCTGCTTCATGCAGGCTTTATCCGAATTACTATTTGCTATCAACTAATTTCTGTATGTCTTTTATTTTTTTTTTTTTTTTTTCATTCCTATCTATAAAGAACAGTTTAGTAAGCAGCATAATCAGTTTCTTGCCCCAAAATATTTCTGCTGATATTTTCTCAGCTGTGTCATGGTTTGGAGACCTTAACTCGTACGTAAGATCATTGACACACTTATCCCAGCCACCCTTCTACACAGAATTTTCTATCCATAACGCTGAGTGGGTTACATACACTTCTGGTACTCACATGCAACCTACAATGCAATCAAATATGTTCAAATTTTCCACAGCATCGCTGCAAGCACAGAATGCTCTAGTAGCAATACAGAAACGAAATAAGTAAATTTCAAAATTCTCATGACCGGTCAATATCTGATTAAGTTTATTATCCAGTTGAAAATGCCTACACTTAAGTCGTTGAAAACACTTGGAAAGCAAGTATGAACCAGTGCAAAGCATTGCTTTGCTTAAAATTCAACAAGATGCTTGGTACTATGATCACCAACCTCCATGAAATCGATACTTCTAGTTCCTGAGAATGCCAACGACACAGTGAAATAATTTTATGGATCCTTTCAGCAACACATCATTACAGGAAATCTGGAAATTGTTAAGGACTATAATTTAAGGCATTTAATGAAGCTAGGTGTCGCCCAGATGGTATAGTGGTTTGGGGAGCCTACAATGGTACAGAAGGACCCGGGTTTGAATCCCGAAAAAGACATGGATATTTGTAAATGTATAGTGTTGGTGCAGCATGGCAGCACTCTAAATATATGGTGAAGGAGACCCCCGGATTTCCCCCCAAGAGCTCTTCCTCAAAATTGGGGGTGGAAAAACAGAAGTCCAACCTCTCTTTGGAGTAGGCTCTGGCAACCATTGTTCCATGTAATATGGACAAGACAACAACAACAACAAGAAAGAAGCTAGGCACCAAGTTTCATCTCACCTACCATGTGAGCAAAAAATTTTGCATTCAACAATTTGATAATGATTTGAACACTTTCACTGTCAAAGCTAGCTATCAAACTAATTTTCCTACCCTTTCTTTTCTTGAATGGAAAGCTGCTTTACTTCAAGACTTTATTTGGAGAATTTACATATCTTCTAAATTTCTGTACATTCACAAGAAGAAAGAACTACAACTTAAAATCAAGCAACTATGGAGCAAATTCATTATTACTAAAAACTGGCAAAGTTAACGTCAGTATTTTATGAAAAATTTTAATTAAACAAGAACTCCTTAGTACAACCACTTATTTGCAAGTAAATACTAATGCTTAAGTTCTCCAAAAGAGGTTCCAGGTGTTGCATTGAAAATTTAAAATTTCTAGCAAAACTAATACTATGTAATTAGCAAATCTTTATGCACTTCCGAAATTTCATAAAACACCGGTAAGTTCAGATTCATTGCCAATGGCACAAAATTTTTTCTTTTTTTTAAATCGATCTTCTTTCCACCCAAAAAAAAAAAAAAAAAAAAAAAAAAAAACTGAAACAAGTTCTTCACATTATCAAAAAATATTACTTTTCAAGACAATAACTTCAATTGGATTATTAATAACCACGAGCCGATTATGGAAGCACTACATACTCTTGAAATTAAAAAGATTAACTGCTACGATTTCGAAAATCTTTCCAACACTTTAAGATATTTTTTATAGTATACTATCTCTCCCTGATATTGTTTTCGTAGATACTTATAGTCTCCAAAGAAGAATAGAAATGCGAAGCACTACATACTGAAATTAAGAAAATTAACTGCTACAATTTCGAAAATCTTTACACCACTTTACTACTAGAAGATATTTTTTATAGTCTACTATTTCTCTCTGATATGTTTTCACAAATTCTCAATAGTCTCCAAAGAAGAATGGAATACTACTTAAAAATTGTTTTTCTTCACCTACATAAAAATCTGATAATAAGTTTTTCAAGCAAGTAAAATGTCCTCCATGAAGACATCTTTCAACATAGGCATATAGCCATCCATTTGCTATGCCTTTGTCAATTAACCTAACATTAGGCAATATAGTGGATGCAGACTTAAACTAAAATCACTCAACTAGGTAAGGCTATCATAATTAGCGGCAGTTAGATAATACCTGTGTGTGAGGTTTATTTAGCATTTAAACAGTACAATTATTCTATATAGTCCAATAATTAAATTCCTTTCTATTATTCTGTAATCTCAATTATAAGATTCTACCAAACTCCAGAACAAAAGTATAGCAAAGAAGGGGATCTTGTATTCTAGTTAATACTGTATGTATGAAAAAAATGAGAAATGTGGAAAATTAAATAAACATTAAAATAAAGCAGATTTTGAAAGCATATTGTCATGACATGTTGACCACACATGCGCAGTTTAGCCGAACGGCCTGCAATGCCCCTCTCTCATGTGATTTAAATTAGAAGAGAAGAGACTGATAGTAGCGAAGTAACGAAGGGAACCCTTTGTATGCCAGAATAATGATAAACATGGTTCTATTTTTGTGTTAACTATTTGTTCTTGTTTTGTTTGTGTGTTAATAAAGTTTTGGTGTTGTTAAATGTCTTGTTTTATGCAATAACATCTACATTAAGAAGGAAGTATATATCAAGAACCCGCCCAAGAAGAAACGTATGACAGTGGTCTCAGAAACAGAGGATATATCATTCTGTGAAGTTCACAAGTAAACGCATAAGTGAGTCTTCAGAAAGGCAAGAAGTTCTTTGTTCAATTCATTTTGTTGTAAAGTGAAATTCAAGGCTAGCAAAATGGCTGAAGAGCTAACGAAATCTAAGAAAGAACGGAAAGTTATTTGTCCAGCCATTACCAAAGTAACAAGTTCTAATGAATCCTTAATTGCAACCGGTGACATTGAAGACCTAGAAGAATTACTGGAAATTTTAAAAGCTATTTCTTTGGGAGTGTTAGATGAAAAATTTAAAACTTTAAATTGATATTAATGACATGGAATCCAAAGTTGAAAGTGCTCTGGAATACCAAGAAAAGATTGCGAAATGAAGTTTTAGAGGCACGAAAAGTTTGATCAAGTTCTGATTATGCCAGTAACACGTCGTAACGAACCATTCCAGGTAATTTATGTAAATATCCTCGGACCTTTAGAACCAAACTGTTGAGCTTATTAATATGTTCTGTGTGCTGTTGATCAATGTACAAGATGACCCGAAGTGGTACCATTGAAGAATTTGAATGCCAAATCAACATGTGATGCTTTGTTGCAAATCCTTACACACACTGGAATTCCTGAAATTGTTGCTTCGGATCAAGGAATTAATTTTACTGCTTCGTTGACTCAAGAGTTTTTGAGAAGGATCGGATCATCCCCAAGGTTCTCAACTCTTTATCATCAAAGTTCAAACGGCCTTGTAGAAAGATTTAATGCTGTTTTAAAGGGGATAATACACCATACCATCAGAGAATATTCAAAAGATTGGGCAAAACACCTACCATATTTACTTTGGGCTTATTGAGAAGTTCCTAATGCTACGACTGGTGTTAGTCCTTTCCAGATGCTTTATGAAAGATGACCTAATGGCCCTTTGTCTATCTTGAAGACGTCATCGACTCATGAAACTCCTGTTCCTCATGGACAATGCTCAGTGACTGATTATCTGAATGATTTGAAGATAAAATAAGAAAAGCAGGACTTATAGCAGTTGGAAAGCTTATGCATTTTACCATAACCGGAAGACTTGTCATAAAGAATTTAAGGAAAGTGACAGGGTTATAGTCTTAATCCCTGATAATCAAAATAAAATTTATGCTAGATGGACGGGACCTGCTAGGATCATCAAAAAGCATACTTACTATAGTTACCTAGCACAATTGCCTGACAATTCTTCAAAGCACGTTCACACAAACAAGATACGAAGAGTTCAAGACTACTATGAATAATGTCGGTGTGATATATGATACAGACATTGATTTCAGCAAAGTTGAAAGCATCCCAAGAATTGTTCCATGGAAGGCAAAAGAACACTATTCTACTGAAGAATGTGATCTTACGCATCTTAAATCGCATAAGAAGAAAGAACTTACGGAAATTTTAAGAAGGCATAAGAACCTAATATCTGGTATTCCAAAAACTGCCAATGTTGGAGATTATAACATCGAACTGAAGCCTGGAAGTATGCCAAAGAAGCAGAAATCGTACCAGATATATGAAGTTCTAAAACACAAAGTTGATTGACAAATAGATAAGCTATAACAGCTAATGCTAATTGTTGAATCAGAAA